CTCTTCTCCATCAGGGCTACTCTCTCATTATGGCTTTCCAAACACCCTGTAAAGAGCCCGAGCTGCCATGACGGGTTTCCCACCACGCTCCCTTGGATCTTCATGGCATAACGATGTCAATGGGAACAACTCAAGTTTGCTCTTCACCGGTTCTCGCTTTCCACCTGACCAGTAGCGTTCCCACCGCCCCTCGTTGCACTCACACTGCTCCAGGAGGCGCCGCTGCTAGTACCAAGAGTTTCTTACTGAGCCACTCTAAAATTGCTAAAACTGCGTCCCTGTCTTGATCGTAGGCTGCAGCTATAAGCAGAGAAAAGCATCTTATCAGAAACCAAAGGAAATCCCGATTTTAAAGGATAGTGCAATCAGACTCTTTCTCAAACACACTTTTCATGCATGTAAACAGCAACGCAGTATACTGGCGACATGCGCCCACTCAAAACTCAGAGATATGGCTTTCAGATACGAGTTCACTCTCAATTGGCTATGGCGACTTCAGCGCCCAAACATCTCACTGYTCACATACACTGGATCACCCTGGATATCCCACACGCATCACTCTGAACACTCAACACACGTACACACACTCTCTACTAACTACAGCTATGGCAGCTATGGCTGCCTCTAACCTATCAAACTCCCTCTCCCTCTCGCCCACTGCGACCTCCGGGCTCATCTGCAGACCTCCTTGCACAAGTCGCTGTGGCAGCGCTTCCGCATGGCTTACGCCGGAATGAATGAATGGGCGCTGCCTCTTGATTTATACTTCAGAAACTCGTTGGTCTGCCCTTTGCCATCGGCCCTTGGTGCTCACAGTCCCCCTGTGGTACTTGCTGGACTGGACTGGGACTGACTGGACCTTCTGCTGACTGACTGTGGACTCACCGCTACCCTACCGACGTTGTACTGCTGTTGGACTGCGGTTTAGTCCACCACTTGCCTCACCACTTGACCACTTGCCCACTTGCCCACTTGCCTACCTTCTAGAAGGTCTACAGCTAAGCTTCCGGAACTCACTAAGACTCCTACGCTATAGACCTACAGATCGAACCCCTGCTGCCTATGGACCTACGACAGGCCTACGAACTGCCTACAAATACACAGGTCACAGGTTCAATTCCCGGGGTCTACACGGATACTGTACATGGGTAGGGTGAGGTCTAGGGATCGAACCCTGGGTACTGCATCCGCTACTGCTAAAAGGTGAAAACCGTTTCAATAGGGGATAAGAAGAGAAACAAAAAAAAAAAAATCATAAAGAAAAGGCAGACCCGATAACATCTCCTATAATTAAGGCACTCTTGACGGACATGCTCACTACTTACCTCAGACAAGTAGGCTGCCACTATATAGGCAGTAAGAGAGCAAGAGAAATGCTACTACAGTGAATTTATCCCAAAGGCATGGACAGGGCAAGTAAAAAGCAGACAAATTGAAATATCCCCTAATGTCACTATATGCAGGAAGAGAGGAGCAGAAATGCGTAGGTAGAGAGCAGCAGGTCCAATTTTGACATGTGAAAAAATCAGTAAATCTATCCTACGGGTAGGGGTAGATAAGGAGCAACGTATCTGAACCTAACTCCAAGCATATTCCCGTTTTGAAAGGTGGACAAAAGGAAGAGAGGAAATCCATGAATTTCGCCTTAGGTACTGACCAAGAAGAGGACCCGAAGTGGACAGCCAGAAAGCAGTCCGCACCTCTGCACCTCTCCTCCTCTCTTAATACTTCGTGGGTGAAGCATCCAAGAATATGCAGTCATTAGACAGAGTGAATAAGGAAAAAATAACTGCGAGAAAACATGAATCTATCCTTACAGATGTCCAGATACAGGGCCATGAGCGTCCGGACTGAAGATGTGCGAGAAACCCTAAAGTATGTGTTCTGTGGTCTGTCCTGATCATAACTCAACACGAGAGGAC